ATGACAGCAATTAGTATAAGGTCCTACTTATCTCAATCCTTATATTTAGTTTGAAAAAAATAAAACCACCCTTTCTGTAATTATTTACATCAAATATCCTATTATCAGATATCCTATCAAAGAGTTCTCCAGTTAACCACCCAAACCTCAGCATTCTGTTTTCCATGTTCAAATAAGACCATTGGAAAATACCAGATCTTAAAAAGAATAATTTAAAAAAATCTAATATTAATTCATTTTTTCCCCAAACTATAATTTCTGGTTCTATTCTGGCAACCAATGTTGATCCTCTGTTAGATATATTTAAGAGAAATTTAAAAAACAAAGTGTACAATGCACAAATGGGAAATTTGTCATTGCTCCCCCTCAAACAACCACTATTTGTCATATTGCTGCTCTTATAAAAGGGACTCCATTACCATCAGCAATTCATGTCCCTGCTTCAGCATCAGATGCAAACAGGATACAGAAACAAGATCTATCTCGTTTACTTTTTGTTCATTGCAACCTCTGAACATAATCCTCAGTTCCATTCCATCAGCCTGCTTCATCATCTGACATGCCTGATTTTTACCTTCTCAAGTCTTAGTGACTATCCTGGTGTTATATTTCTCTGATTGTTGTGTTACCTAAATACTACAGAATGAGTTTGCTCCCCACCCCCACAGTCCCTTCAAAAAACTTCAACTTAAGGATATGCATCTTGAACAATTCAATTCACGCCTTTGAACTCATTATCCTGAAAGTGCCCCCCCTTCTGTTGAAAATGTTCAACTTTTCAATAGTAATCAAAAGTTGCTTTTCATAAAAATATTTCTCCAGTTGGAAGACATGGGTACAAAGGACTTTGTTAGAAGAGCAAATGCTTTTTTCCCCAGTCTTCACCCATGTAACAGTAAATCATTATTAAAACAAAACAAAATCTACCCTAACTGTGTATCAGCCACGCCACGTGGAGTGGCATATAGAAAAAGCACAAGAGTAAAGAACCTTCACCCCCCACCACAGCCAAGAATAGAAGCAACAAATGAAGAAGGCTTTTCATAGACAAAAACATCCAAAGATGTAGCAGCTATTTATTGTAGAAAAGGAGACGAGAGCGAGACCAATAAAAAGAGAGGCTTAGCATAGACTAGAACTCCTTCTTCTCTATTAACCTACACTTTAAAAACTATTCCTGAAGTTTAAAAGGCAAAACTGAACCTATCAAAATTTTAATTAAACAAATTTTCTTCATAAAAATGAGATGTTTTGAACTTATTTTGGGCAGAATTATCTTTTAACCTGATACACAAACTATTGTTTTAAGTTGCTTACAATCTTAAAGTTTTAAAACTAAAAACCTAATTCCTTTAATGTCAGATATCCTTAGCCACGCTAGTTTAAAATTACTTCTATGCCAGCATCTTCTAGTAATGATTTGCAATGGAATCTGTATAATTAATAATAACATTCTTCCCTCTAATAGTTCCAGAGAGCCAAGGATGACATCTCCTTATCTCCCTATTTATTCCACTGGATTGACATGTTTTATCTCATCTGTCACCTTCCATAGAATTCTGCTTTCATATATGAGTTAATTCATTTTTAGTTGTCCTCAATGTTCTAAAATAGTGATGTTTGACAGAATTAATTCAGTGTTCTAGTTCTCTCTGTTCGACTGGTATTTAATTAAAGATCCTGGAGGCCTTCTTTTTCTCGGGTTATAGCATTTAAAGAGGAACATTACTTCCTCCATGGACAATATAAGCCACGTGGCAACAAGGCTGCCTTCCTAAGGTTTCCCATTTAACAGATTGCTTTATTATCTATAAACCACCAATAAGGCAGATTACCACTTTATTTCACGTTGATTTTACTTTTCGCATCTCTGAACCACAATTCTACTATAGCCTACATTCTCTTTTACCTTTGAATTTCCAGAATTTTTTTGGAGTTTTAACATTCCCTTATATTTTTATTTATCATTGCTTTTGTTTCACCTGGACCTCAAGGAGTCCGAATGGAATTTAGATTCTTGAAGATTTCTTGGATCTCTGGTAACAATGCAGAAAGTCTTTAAACAATGAGAGCTACCTTGGGACACAAACTGAGAATACCTGTTTTAAATTCTTCTGAATTAATATCTTTTGGAGAACGGCCCACTCAACTTAATATGTCATAGCATTCAATTCTAAAGGTAGCACGGATCATTTAAATTGACACTTGCTATTTAATACACAAATATTTGTTCTCTTGGATGGCCTTTTGTAAGCTAGCACTTCTTAATCATTTTTTAGGTCTATTGGAACCACAAGAGACGTCAATTTAAGCAAACTTCAGGAGCAATAAACTAACAAACAGACTCTAGGTGGTGGTATAGGTTATTTTTTATCTGGATGTTTTGCTCTTAAAACTCCAAGAGTCAGAAGAGCCTTTAGCTTCTTTTAAGACACTTCTTTATTGGGAACTTACAATGTTTTAGGGTGTTTAAATTAGTAAAATCCAAGTTCTGCATAGTTCAGAGACACATGCAAGAAGTGGGTCTAAAGCAAGGTGTAAAATCTGGTTTTCAACTACCTCAAAGGCACTATAGAGAATTCATTTGAGTAAAACCAACCATCTATATTTTCATTTTTATTTTTCTCCCCTCACATACCTCAGGCACTTTCAGAGGTAAGTATGGAAAGGGGTCTTTCCCCATGAGAATGTATGAAACAGACGAGTAACAATTCTGCAGCCTGCAGGGCAGTAGCTGTTCTGCTGACTGACCCTTCTTTGTCTCCAGGAACTAATTCCAGGCAGAGAAAAGTTACTATTGGTCATGAAGCCACTAGCCTCTGAACCAGTTAAACCCAATCCCCATTACCTAATGGCTGGGCAAAACCAGTGCAAGTTACATTTCAACATACTACAGGCAGCAACCCACATTAGGTGCTAGGCAGTTGAAGCACCATTTGTTTAAAAAGTCCACTTAGTTCAGTCTCTTCAACAAAGGTAGCAAACTGGTGATTAAACACTGAATGATCACATCAGGAAGATGCCACCCACTTGCTAAGCCTATGATTCACTAATAAGCAGGTTCAATGCAATTCATAACTTTAAAGAATAAACTTCCAAAGCCCTTTACTTCACAATTCCCCCCCCCCCATAATATAAAGAGCATTTATCATATATAACCCGATAACCTTTTTACTTTGGATACCTATAGACGGTCTCTCTTCCTCTAAAGACAGAACAATCTCACATTTAATCATTTACATTACTGGAGACAAACTCCAACTTAGTTGCACCGAGTAAAAAGTCCTTGTAGCTGGGAACGTCTTAATTTTTTTCCAAAATACAACGTCCTATTAAAACAATATTTTAAAAACTCAAAAGTACTTATCATTCTGTACTTAGTTACTATCTTCACAACCCAATTTAGTCACTAAGGAGCTAGAAGGTAGAAACTCCTGTAATGCTTCTGAGATCAACATGTGTCACCGACTCCCAGCTTGTTCGCCTCTAAGACACAGTAGATTCCTTTGTTCCTTCAGACTGAGCACCAACTGGACTATAATTTGGAAACTACTCTGGGAAAGATGGGAGAATGCGTAGACTATTTCCAGGGACACCCTTCATAAAACAACAGTCCCGAGAAGGAGGCAGATGCAGGAGGAAAGAGAAGCAGCCTCCCAGGACTCACTGAACGCGAGCCCGGGTTCTGGCTCCGGGTAAAGTGATGGCTGAGGCCTCGGGTCCGAGGAGCCTGGCCCGCAGGAGGGCAACGACGAGGACCGACGACCCGGCCTGGGGCTCTGGCGGGGCCAGGGCGCCGTCCCTTTCCCTACTGGCTTTTCCTGTCCGGGAATCCCGCGAGCACCGAGCAGGGAGGCACC